GAGGCGGCCGAGCGATCCGGGAGGGGCGCCCTTCGCCCAGGAGACGTCCAGCCCCGCGCCCGGGGACCCCGCCGTCCGGGAAGCAGGAGCGGCAGCAGCAAAACCCGGAGGGACCCCCGATCCCGAGCGAGAGGCGCCTCCCGCGATGGGGGGCTGCTGCTCGGGATCCGTGGCGCCCGAGGTGAGCATAGAGGCGCCCCCTCTCGGCCCTGCCTCTTCCTTGCCGCGCCCTTCGCCCAGGAGACGTCCAGCCCCGCGCCCGGGGACCCCGCCGTCCGGGAAGCAGGAGCGGCAGCAGCAAAACCCGGAGGGACCCCCGATCCCGAGCGAGAGGCGCCTCCCGCGATGGGGGGCTGCTGCTCGGGATCCGTGGCGCCCGAGGTGAGCATAGAGGCGCCCCCTCTCGGCCCTGCCTCTTCCTTGCCTTGCCTAGCCTTCCTCCCTGGGACCACCGAAAGGGGAGGCGCCTCTGAGCCTCTGCAGAGAGCCCCTCCCTCACATGCACGCACACAACAGTCGGGCAGAATAGGATCCCCCTCCTCCCGTGTAAGCACGAGGCCAGGCTGCGCATTTCCAGGAACAAGGAGCAGCCCCTCCGTACCTCGGGGAAAGGGAAAGGGAAAGTGGGCACCAGGAGTCCCCCTCCCTGCTGAAAAGTGGATCCCTTTTTCCCATTGGGGCCCCTGGTTCCATCCTTCCCTGACGCCGGGCAGGTTCCTCTCCTTCCTCTCCCAAACAACTTGGAGCTGGTTCAAAGCAGCCCACCTTGCCCCCGTTTCAAGCCTTCCCATCCCCGCCCCTGGAATCTGGGCACCACCATAGCTCCCCTGTTATATAGCTTGCCCTGAAGAATAACTAGTTGTCAACCTTTAACCAGGTATTAGGAGGCATCATCCCACCTAAGGAATGCTGGGCCTCCTGAGGTCAGCTCACAGCCCAGGCCCAGTCCCGGGAAAAGACTCACCTTGGACTGAGTGGGCGAGGACATGTGGGCTTGAGGGGCGGGGGACACCTTCTGCCTGCCTTGGTTCTCCAGAGCCCTGATATCATTGGCTCAGTCATTCCCCAAGAGGGTAAGATCCTGCTCCCCACTTCAATGATGAGGGGGGGCGGTATTGCACTCACATTCTCTTTCCATTAAAAATAACAGGTACTCAAGCAGGAGGAGGAGTTTCCCCCTCTCTCCGCTGAGAAGGAACAGCTGAAGCTGCAGAACGGAGAGAAAGAGGAGCAGGTGTCCCGTCTGCTTCAAGCAGTGCAAGAGCTGAAGGCACAAGTGTCCCGTCTCTCAGCAGAGAAGGAACAGCAGAAGCAACAGAACCAAGAAAAGGAGGAGGAGATGTCCCGTCTGCTTCAAGAGCTGAAGAGGGAAGTGTCTCACCTGCAGCAGCAGAACCAAGAAAAGGACGAGCAGATCTCTCACCTGCAGCATAAGGTGCAAAAGTTGGAGGAGCAAGCGTCCCGTCTCTCCGCTGAGAATCAACAGGTGAAGCAACAGAACCAAGAAAGGGACGAGCAGATCTCTCATCTGCAGCATAAGGTGCAAAAGTTGGAGGAGCAAGTGTCTCCTCTGCAGCAGGAGGTGCAGGAGCTCAAGAAGAGTCCTGGAGCCTCTGGAGCCCAGCAAACCACCAGATGGATTTCACCGTTTGGAGGACCAACTCTTCCTGTCAAAGGTGATCAGATTTGTCTTCTTTTTTTTCTCTTTATTTTTTATTTAATATAAAATAGCTACTACTACAGAAAAGAAAACCTATATAAAGTACAAAACAAAACAATACAATAACGTACAATGACCCTTGTGCACCCATCACCTTCAGGACTAGCATTACACTTCTTTCCATCCATTTTCACTCCAAAATTTCATTGTTTCTTCCCTCGGCGTATACCCCCTCCCTCTCCGAAATACATGTTCTAAAAAGACATTCCATATTTTCTTAAAATTGTTATTTTTCATTTGGCCTCTACTTATTTTCATATCACATGTCAGTTTGTCATTAATTGCAATATCCCATAATTCTCTATACCATTCCTCCAAGTTAACTTGATTTTCATTTCTCCAGCTCCTTGCAATAATTATCCTTGCTGCCATAATCATCATTACTATTAACTCCTTATTTTCTTTCACCAGTTGATCTTCCTTAATCAGATTCAATAAGGCTATTAACGGAGACATTTGAATATTCAATCCAATTATTTCAGATATTTCTTTAAATATTAATTCCCATTTTATCTTTTTTCACATAACCACCACATATGTAAATACGTCCCCTTCTCTTTTTTACAACTCCAACATAACATTGACACACTTTTATCCATTTTATTCATTTTGACCGGCGTTAAATACCAT